ATTTTCCTTGTAAATTCCAAAGGACAACATCTACCTACTGACTTTTCCACCTCTGACCCCCCTCCCCCCAATGTATGAGGGTGCTTTTTGGAGATGATGGCCAGGCTGGAAGGAGTCTTTTGAGAGCAAGGCTTTGTGCTTCAAACTCCTTTCTCATTTGTTTGTCTACCTTAGTGCGTTAAGAGTTACCTGTGAGAAAAGCTTTAAAATCTTGAGTCTTGCTCTGCACATTAATAAAAGAAAGGTGTATAGGTCTTATGTGTGTATGTGTTTCTACTTAAGAAATATAATGGATACTGTTCATGTATATTTTTATTCTGGAATTAATTTGATCAGGAATCTGCTCTTCAGAATATTTATGATGTGACTTTCATAAGTGATTTTGACTAGATAAGCGATAAGACATAATGGGACTAGCATATCTCACCAGAGTTTGTGGCTCTATCTCTAGGGTAGTATTTTTTCCACTGATGGTGAGTATGAACAGTATTTCCGTATTGACTCTTTGTCCTGACCAAAATAACTCAATATTAAAAAGAGGTATCCTTTTTTATTTTTTTTAAAAAGTGCTGTTGTCAATTGTTTCTTTTTTTTTTTTGTCTTTTTTTTTGTTTTTTTTTTGTCAATTGTTTCTAATTCTCTAGTTCTCCTTGGTTTATATTATAATCCTTAACATCTCATAAGTTTACACAATAAAAAGAACCTATCTAATATGTAAAAGGATAAAGAGACAAATGTTTTAAGCTTTTCTTTAGTGACTGACTTGAGAACACAGTCTTAGTTTTAAACTTTTACGTGAATTCTCATAGTACATTATAATAACACAAAGAAGGAATCTAGTTATCAACAACTAAGGATTGGGCTGTTGAATAAAATTATGTAGTAAGTTTTCAAAGGAGTAGTGATGAACTTTTAAAGTTTATACTTGCCTTATTTTTGTGTTACCATTGTTAAAAATTACCCATGTATCATTGGCAAAGTATATTGTACATTAGTTATATTTAGAGGTGTCATTTTTCCTGGAATAGTGCTTTGGTATCTAGGGTGTAATGGGAGACTTCTAATTTGTGATTATTTTTGTTGTGTGACTGTTTGTATGAGTCAAATGAATTTGAGCTTTGCCTGACTGAGATGTGAAGACTTAACGTCTTTATTGATTATAGAATAAGTCTGTTCTGACTTATGTTGTATTGATTATAAAATAAGTGAATGGTTATGCAGTAAGAATTAGAATAAATGAAGTTAGTTGATAATGGATAAAAACAATTGATGTGTTTGCTAAAAGATATGTAATAAGAATAATACATGTAGCAATATATTAAAAATAAAAGGGCTATAGGAGACATTGGAAAATATTGAATTGTTGTTGTTGTTGTTGTTAGTTGCCCCTAAGTCGACTATGACTTATATCAACACTATGAACAGCAGATCTGAACTTTGTTCTATCCTGTGCCGTCCTCATGATCTCTGTCATCCTCGGGTCCATTGTTACACTGTGTCCGTCCATCTCCTTAAGGGTCTTCCTCTCTGTTGCTGACCCTTTGCCTTTCCCAGCATGTTATTCTCTCCAAAGACTGCATCCTCCTGAAAATATGCCTAAAATGAGGTAAAGTTTCACCATCCTTGCCTCTAAGGAACACTCTGGTTGCCTTTATTTCAAGACAGATTTGCTTTTACTTTTGGCAGTCCATGGAATATTCAGTATTCTTTTCCAACATCACAAATCAAAGGCATTGATTCTTCTTCTGTAATCGTTAGTCATTGTCCAACTTTCAAGTGCATAGGAAGCAATTGAAAAAAATAATGATTTGTATTAAGCACACTGTAGTTTTTAAACTGACATCCGTGCTCTTTAGAATTTTGGAGAGGTCCCTGACAGCACACGTCCCTAGTGTAACACATCTTTTGATTTCTTGACCACTGCTACCATGAGTATTAATTGTGAATCCAATTAAAATGAGATTGTTAATATTTTTCCCATCTATCATGGCATGGCCAGTTGATCCAGTGCTGAGGATTTTTATTTTCTTGGTATTGAAACATAACCCATAGTGAAGGCTGTAGTCTTTAATCTTCTGCAGTAAGTACTTCAAGTCTTCACAGTCTACAAAGCTGTGTTGTTTGCATGATGCTGGTTACGGATGAGTTTTCCTCCAGTCTCAATGCCATGTTCTTAATACAGTCCAGCTTCTGAAATTATTTTTTCCAGTATAGAGATTACATAGATATGGAGAAGGATACAACCCAGACCCACACTGTCTCTTATTTTAAACCATGTAGTGTTCCCTTGTTCTGTCCAGATAGCCTCTTTTCAGATTTTGTATGACCATAATGAAATGTTTTGAGTTACCTAATCTTTTCAGTGTTAACCATAATTAGTTAGGATCCAAATAGCCAAATACCTTTGCATAATCAATAAAGGACAAGTAAACATTACAAGTAAACATCTTTCTCCCCGCTTTCAGCCAAGAGCCATCTGACATCAGCAGTCCCTTGAGCCATTGCCTCTTCTGAGTCCAGCTTGACGTTCTGACACCAGCCACTTTTTAAAAGCAATTTTCAGCAAGATTTTACTTGCATGTGATACTAATGATATTTGATAATTTCCACATTCTTTCACACCACCTCTTTTGGGAATGGGGGACAAATTTGGATCTCTTTCAGTCAGTTGTCATGAAGCGGTTAATAGGAAATAAAATACTTCTGAGGTAGAGGAGCTCTGCAGTGGTGGAACACTAACACCAAGAACCATTGTCAAGTGATCCTGTCTGTTGGCCTCCAAGCATGTAAATCTTTATGGAAGGAGACTGCTTCATCTTTTCTTCAGATGATTAGATCCAAACCATCAGCCTTTCATGTAATGACAGTCGATCATGTAATGCCCTGTGCCACCAGGGTTCTGCCAGTAGTGGAGCCCAATATAATGTAGGAGTAAAAAACCACCAAGGATCTATAGAATAGATTTGCTTAGGATCATGTAGTGGTAGAGAGGTGAAGTGAAAAAAAAACTTTTTCCAGGTGCCTTAGAGAGAAGAACTTACCTGTGCAAAGGATGGACTTAGATGATAGGTCAGAAGTATCCAGAGTGGAAGAATTTGAAAATAAAATTTGTTTCTGGACTTGAGCAAAAGCTAAGTCAATATCCATTTTATTATATATTTGTAAGCAGAAGTTTTGGTCATGAGGGAGAGAATCTTAAAGGCTGCTAACTCAAAACCAAAACCAAATCTGTTGCCATGAAATTGGTTCCAACTTATGACAACCTTCCATTAGGTTTTCTAGGCTAAAATCTTAACAGAAGGAAATCACCTTGTTTTTCTCCCAAGGAGTAGCTGGTCGGCTTGAACTGTCAACTTTTCAGTTTGCTCAGTTATAGGCAGTAGTTTATAGGCAGTTGTGTTATTAACCCAAAGACTGTCTGAGTCTGTTTGGCAGTTTGAATCCATCAGTTACTCTAAGAGAGAGAGATGAGCGATCTCCTCTCTTGCTGTTTACATCCTGGAAGCCTGCTGGAGGTCAGTTAAGAGTTGATTCCAACTTGATGGCAATGAGATGGAATGGAGTTCATTGCTGTACTAGGAGTCACAGCTGCGGGTCTCAAGTTTTATCAGTTATTTGTTTTTGTTGTTGTTAGGTGCCATCAAGTCGCCTGCAACCCTTAGCGATTCTTATGTACAGCAGCTCTGAACCCTGCCCTGTCCCGAGCCAGTCTCACTAATTCCAACACATCAACCCCCATTGCCCCAGTTAATGTATCAATCCATCTCATCTGGGGTCGTTTTCTCCTGAGCTGTCCCACCACCCTTCTGAGCATGATGTCCTTCTCCAAGGATCGGTCCCTCCTGGTCATGTGCCCAAAGTATGTGAAACAGAGCTCCGAAATCCTACTCTCCAAGGAGAAACTTGGTTTCACCCTCTCCAGGACAGACCTTATTTGTTTTCTTGGTGGTCCATGGTATGCTCATGACTCTTCTTTAGGAGCACAACTCAAAGGCATCAATTCTTCTGTCATCCTTAACCATTGTCCCCCTCTCTGATACATAGCAAGTAATTGTGAAGGCCATGGCCTGGATAAGATGCACCTTTGTCTGTAGACTGACTTCGCTGCATTTTAGCACTCTGGAGAGGTCCCTGGCAGCAGATTTTCCCAATGCAATTTGTCTTTTGGTTTCTTGACTGCTGGTGCCAAGAGTGTTGATTTTGGAGCCAAGCAAGCTGTAATTGTTAACAATTTCAATATATAATTCAGAATTTGACCGTTTTGTTAGGAAAGTGCTCTTTGTGCAGGACTTTGAACGTGTTCATTCTGATTAACATGGGCTGGAATCTTCATTTCCACCTTAGATATACTGAATCAGAATTTACAGTTTAACAAGATCCCTGGGAGATAAAAACCACCTGGTCTTGGTAAACTGTAGATTCTGATTCAGTATATTTTAGGTGGAAATAAAAATTTTCAGCAGGATGACAAATAGAAATGAGTTTGGAGCTCTGTCATTGTGACTGCTAATTCTAAAATGCTGTTGTACCAGGCAACCTGCTAGTCATCTGTGTCTTCCTGGAGTAGATGCCTAAAATGAAAAGCAAATTCAGGGCCCATCATAGAATTTATCTGGTGTCTTTTCACAGCTATGTACCTTTTTTTAGGGTTTTTTGATAACCCTCAAATACCAAAAACTCAAGTTTTATCGTCTTCTCTGCAGTCAATATATTAAGGATTTGTTATGATGTGTGTCTGAGGCAGATATGACCCCTCGGGATCCTCCAGTGGGTTTTCAGAGCTTGTAAACCACACAGGAGGAGGTTGCCCATCTTTTTTTCCTACAGAGCAGCAGATGGATTTGAACCACCTGTCTTTGGGTTGACAGCACAACTTCTTACCACTAAGGCACCAGAGGTTTTTCAGAAGATCAATATGTAACTTGATCCATGAATAATTAAATGATTGAAAGCATGAGAAACACAGAGAAGAATAATCCCCCCATGTTTTCTTTTTTCAGAAATGCTGTCTGCAATTTTATTATCTGCAATGACTCTTCCCTTCGAGGTCAGCCTGTTATCTTCAACCCTGACTTCTTTGTGGAGAAGCTCCGACATGAGAAACCTGAAGTGTTCACCGAGTTGGTGGTCAGCAATATCACAAGGCTCATTGATTTACCTGGAACTGAGCTGGCTCAGTTGATGGGAGAAGTGGAACTGAAGCTGCCAGGTGGGGCTGGCCCAACGTCAGGCTTCTTTCGGTCTCTAATGTCTCTCAAACGAAAAGGTAGGAGGTTCTTCCTTGGGCTTTGCTCTTAACCTTTTTGCTCTTTAACACATTCTTAATTGATGAGTTCTGTTGCCATAAAGCATTTTGGATCAGTTTTCTAATTTTTGTAAGTAGTAAAACGTTAGTAATAAAAATGATGAAAACAGTATAAATAGAGAAATAATGATATTAAATATACTCAGCCCTCAAGAGGTGAAATGATTAAGGGGGTTCTCAAGGACACTTATTTTTATGCTGTTAATAGTATAGGGTGCTCTGCTGGCTTAGTGATAAAGAATTGCGCTGCAAATGCAAATGTGTGCGGTTCAAATCTACTAACTGATCCATGGGAGAAAGATGGGCATTCTCTCCCCGTGTGATTTACTGCCTCTGAAAAACTGCTGGAGGATCAGCTATGGATTGGTTCCAACTTGATGGCACAAAACCACTACCACAACAAGTAATTAATATAATAAAATAGTATTACATAAATCACACCACTGCAGAGTCCAGTAAATAGAGTGGAACATTGTTCAGTTGTGATTGTCAGATATTTCTATTCTTTGGAATGATTTGATGAGGCAGATTCCTATGAAAGACTCAAAGAAAGCCTTCCTAGGAAATAAAGAAGTCCTAGCATTCCTTTTGATGTGATTTTATTGAGTATAAAAAAATCATGAAAGTAGGGAAAATGTTTAAATACAGACCTGTATTGACTCTAGTGTATAATCTGTGATGTTCTGAGAATTGTGACACTTGAGAATTTTGTTTGTTTATTTTTAAATATCAGCATGTTAACTTTTTCTTCTTAATTAAGAAGTCTTTGACTTCGTTGAACTTTACCTTCTTATATTAAACTTGGAGAAAGCTGTTTGAGAATTCTTTGAATTGCTTGTTTTCTGGTGTTTTTCCAGCTTTAGGGCACTCTGGTGGCAAGGTTTGTAGAGAGCTGTTCTGCTGAGTGGCCAGACCTCTTTTAATCCACCAGCAACACCAGCAAAGAAAGGTGGACATTGTCCTCCCAGGAGATACACAGCCTCAGAAACCTGCTGGAGGGTCAGCTAGGGGTAGGTTCTGACTTGATGGCAATGAGTGTGAGTTAATGGTGGTGCTACCACCCAACCAAAAGGTTGATGGTTTGACTCCTAGCAGTTCCATGAGAGAAAGATGGAGTAGTCTGCTTCCAAAAACATTTACAGCCTTGGAAATCTAGTAGGGCAGTTCTATTCTGTCTGACCAATTATCTGTGAGTCTAAATTGATGGTTCTGTAGCAGTGGATTTGGCTCCAGCTTTAAGGTTTTTATTTACTGATTCCACTCAAATATTTGCTAAAATATAGAACAAAATAGTAGATTTCAGTGTGATGACTTTGTACCTTTATGTAAAATATAATCCTTTCCTGTTATTTTTCTCCCTTCCAGAAAAAGGAGTGGTGTTTGGCTCTCCACTGACAGAGGAAGGCATTGCTCAGATATACCAACTGATTGAATATCTGCACAAAAGTAAGGCTTTGACAGTATGTTGTTTTTTGTTTAATAAAGCTGTTCAGGTTTTAGTGAGAACTAACTGCCCTGAGTTAGGAAATAGATACAAGCTGCTCATCAAAAACGAAACTAGCCATAATTTCAGCTGGCACGTTTCTAAATATATTTTCTTTTAATTTTATTTTTTCCTGTGTGACTTGCTTTATACTTTAAGAAATGTGTGTAAATTAGATAGTATCTATGAAGTTATATTTTCTCTTTAACTCAAAGGATATTTCTTTCAGAAAAACTACATAACTCCCAAAGAATTGTAGCATTTATTCAGGGGAGAGAGCGTAATATATCACAAAGATATTTTTCATCTCTAAAATATGTTGTTGTTGTTAAGTGCCGTCGAGTTGCAGGCGACTCACAGTGACCCTATGAAGGAGAGTCCTCGATGCTTGGGTGCCTTTCATCCTCTCTCCAGGTTCTCTAAAATATAGGATTAAAATAAATTCTGCATTTAATTACGATTTCATGTTTTAGTAGTGTGCTGGCTATACCATTGCTTCAAGTGCTTGGCACAAGTGCCAGTAGGTGAAATGTATAGCTGTGTGTGTTGATAAAAGATAACAAAATGTTTTCCTGTTAAAGGCAACACAACCATTTACGTCATATCAGTGTGTGACATGGTGCTCCTTGGGCAGTGGTTGCACATTGGCAGCCCACAGGCTTGACATATTTGCCTTCAGGCTTGGTTTGGATTGTAAAGGGTTAAACTAGAAAAAGAAAAGGAGCTATCAGTGTTTTGAGTTGTGGGGTGTTTAGATGTTCAGCTTCTTTGGATAATAGGGGGAGATCTGTGAACATCCTTGGGTCCTGTTGCCATTCTAGAGCACAGCGAGGGGCTTTCTAGTTTGCTCCAGTTCCCAGTCGTTCATATACTCCTACCAGCTCTAGGTCTTATACCAAGGTGAATACGTCACTGAGCTGAAATGAACCAGGAGCTTTCTCCGCTCACAGGTCGGACCTAAAATCCCTTAGATTGGCTTACAAGATAGTTTGGGGGAAAGGGTCATTTAGTTGGGATAATGAAAAGCTTCTGGGACTTTCTTAGACTGAAAGATGATCTGACATGTTAGATTCTAATTCCTGGAGCAGTGGAGTGGCTCTAGGTTAATTTTGGGTCAGGAAAACAGTTGACAGGTGCAGCAAACCTCTGTAGATGAATTTGGCCCCTCCAAAGTCTGGGCCATCCCATGGATGGCCAAGAGAATGAAAAGATATTTCTAAGGAGAGGGTGTAGCTGGAGTGCTCTTTGGAGACAGGAATGATGAGTCTTTGTCTCGCATACTTTGGGCATATTGCTAGGAAAGACTATTCCTTAGAGAGGGACATGATGCTGGGAAGGGTGGAGGGTGGGCGATGGAGGGGAAGACCCTCAACCAGGTGGATTGACACGGTGACTGCTGCAATGGGCTCTTGTGTGTCAGAAAGTGTGAGGATGGCGCAGGATAGAGCAGGGTTCAGATCTTTTGTTCATAGGGTTACTATGAATCATACTTCATGGCACCTAACAACAACAAAATCTGGGACCACTGAGAGGAAAGAACATATAAGGAGATTTGATTTCTCTTTCAGCTTATTTTTCAAGCTCATTCCAACCATTTCATTGATTGGTTAAACTCAGTCTCCATATGTACCATAAGAGGTTGAATAAGCCCTTCTGGGAGGACTGTCTTTTAGTTGAGAGACCACCAGTATTCAGGGAACGTCAGATATGTTCACTCAGGGCTAATTGGTTCTTAAAGAACTCGGAGAAGAACCTCCTTAAACATTTTTATAAAGGGCTTTTTAAGTGTAATATTTCTTTTAGACTACTTTTAGTAATTATTTCTCTTTTTGCTTATTTTTGCTGTGCTGAGCAGACTTGCGAGTAGAGGGTTTATTTCGAGTACCAGGCAATAGTGTCCGGCAACAGATTTTAAGAGATGCTCTCAATAACGGAACTGATATAGACTTGGAATCAGGGACGTTTCACTCCAATGATGTTGCCACCTTGCTGAAGATGTTTCTAGGAGAGTTACCGGAGCCCCTGCTGACACATAAACATTTCCATGCACACCTCAAAATTGCTGGTGAGTGTTGACATTGATACGGATATATAAGAAAGAAATCCATTTCTTTCAATTTAGTAAAGTCATTTGAAATTTTCTATTGCTTATCACCCACAGTAAAATTCTAATACTGATTAAGACTTCATGATATTTTGGAGCTTTTTTGAGATGTATATATATATATATATATGATACTTACAAGTTTGGTCTGTTAGCTTTGCCCTTGGACTATTGCTAAATATTACCATATTTCATTTCAACCCAACTCTACTTTTAAAATTAAGCTGTTTGGTTTTTTTTAACCATTTCAGCAACATTTTATTTTTCATATACAATTTTAGTCACATTAATTATATTCATCATGTTGTGGAACTGCTACTACACTTTACTTGCAAATTGGAAATTTGTTTTTTAAAGATACTTTATTTTCTGACAAGGTAGAACATTCATAGGGTTCAAAATTCAAAAGGTTAAGAAGGAGCTCTGGTGACCTGGTGGAAAGAAGGTGTGCTGCAATCATGAAGGCGCACAGTTCAAATCCACCAGATGCACCACTGGTGAAGGAGGAGCCATCTCCTCCTGTACCAGTTGGATCTGACTCGATGGTACACAATAAGGAAAAAAAAAATCTAAACCCCCTCCCCAACTTCAAAAGGTTAAAAAAGAAAAAAAAATGGCGGAATACTTGTCTTCTACCCCTATTTCCCAGCACTGAATTCTTCCTAGGGATAACTGCTGTCACTAGTATCTAGTATATCTTTCTAGGAATATTTTGTGCACTTACAAACAGATGCCTTTATTCCTTTTCCTCTCTTTGTTTAATGGTAGGGCATTATACACATGGTTTTTGGGTTGCTTTTTCCATTGGCTGTATTTTAGAGAGTGTTCCATTTTCCAACCATAAATAGTCTCTTTATTCTCTCTTGTGCCTTGCATGCAGAAAATTCATTCTTAAACTGCACAGCTGTCACGCGGCCATAGGCACGCTAAGTGCATATAGCATCTGAATGCTGTACTCAGTTTTCTGTCCTTGAGTGTTCGCTTTTTTTTCTTCTAATTTTAGGGAAAATATGTACTATTAGTTTATTTTTAAAACCATTTTAAAGTTACATGTTCTTTATTTCTGCAATCTGTGTGAGAAATGGTGGCAAGAAATTCCTTACTGCTGTTCTTTTTTTTAAAATTGTGATTTTAACAAAGGTTTATGGAGAGGTTGGGCTTTCATGCATTCATTGTTGCACACTTTCCTCCCCCTCCCTCTCATCTCCTCTCCAGTCTATTATTTTTTTTTAAATACTGACTACCTTTTAAAAAATACTACAACCAGATGCTCTGCTGGAGAAGGAGGAGGCAATCTCCTCCTGTACCAGTCAGATCTGATTTGACGGTACACGTAAAAATAATACAATAAAAAAAATAAATAAAATAAGTAAAAAATACTACAGA